TGGAGAATTACAAATTATTGTGTAAAATGTAAGAATTATTTTTTAGAGATTTATTCCTCATATATATATAGAGCAAATAAGAGCTTAAGATATGGTGGATTTCACGTATAACAAGTCTATGGGATAAAACAAGATTTAAAAAACTTGTTAAAATCAAGAACTGTTAAAATCTGGATAAGACCATCCCGACTGTCAAGTGGTGGCCAACCGCTAGAGCGGCCTCCTCACGAATAGCGATAGCTGAAACTCTTGTTCTAATCGATCAAGCGGGATAAAGACACGTAGTGATCGTTAGTTCGCCGTGATCTTCTACTTGCATGATTTCTTTCTCTCCTATTGCAATTTGAACCCCTTCAAATCTTCTTCAAGTTCAATCCAAATCACCAATTTCCTAATTAACCAAATCACCAATTTCCTAATTAACTCCCAAATTGAATTCCCAAATAGACTTCATATATAGTGATGACAATAAAAAAAAAAACCCGCCCTGAACCGAACCCGCCGCGTGAAGAAAAAAAATTGTTTGTTTCGAGTGCTTGCTTTGAATATTAATGTAATTTGAACATTTTTTGCTTTAGATTTTAAAATTTTTAATTTGTATTTTAACTGAAAATGAAAAAAGGGGCAGGCCTGCACCCGCCCCGTTGCCATCTCTATTCATGTCGAATTTTCAACTTAACTTCAAATAAAATTCTCCAATAATTTTCCAAATAAAATTTGATCACATTTTAATTCTAACAAAAACAACAAATGATTCATCTCAACAAGATACACAAATAAATGTAAATAACATTCCTTCTGTTGTTCTACGAGTGGGAAGTGGATGAGCCATTCATCGGCTCATGCCTCGACAAGTTGTGAGTATGAGTTGAACAGTAAATAATGCATGCTAGTGGCTTGCTGATTCGTGAGATATACAAGCTCAAGAGCTGAGCACATTCTTTATTATGGAAACTGCTAAATGTACAATGCAGGTGTACATTATGGTTGGCAACTCCTTATGTGGCACAATCTGGACAGTGATGTGAAAATGTGTTAAAAAAATCAAAAGAGATGATGATGCCTATATGGAAAAATGTAAACAGTGATGTAAGCTTTAATGCATATGTAGCATGATTGCTTTATATCATGGTCGGTGTTGTAGAATGTACCTTTGCAAATACAATTTTGGATTAAAGCCCAATAACAAACATGGTTAGCTGCTCCAAGATGTCCAAGTCTTTCCAAATCTAAGGCTATCTCCAACCCTGCTTTGCATCATTTTACACCAAATCTTGCATCAACTAAAAATCATCTTCGACCGTTACACCAAAAATTTACAGCAAATGAACATTGTTTGATCATTTTTTTTATTCTTAATTAACACAAATAACATAAATACCCTTAATTAATTTGTTTGGCAAATGAAAACAAATGGTAAAATTGACTTTCCACCATTTTTGTGCATTTGGTGTATTTTGTTCTCCTATGGAGATGCCGTAATTCCTGGATAAAGTCCAAATTTTCTAATCCCTGTACAGCCATTTAGCCCAAATTCCAAAAAAGAAACCCTAGTTTAGCGGTGGCAAAAAAGCTCGGAGGCTCGGACGGCCCGAGCTCGGCTCGGGCTCGGTGGAACCGAGCCCAGGCTTGAGCCGAGCCCCACTTTGGGGAGTCGGCTCGAGCCCGAGCCGGCCCGTGGCCCGGCGAGCCTCCATTAAAAAAAAAAAAAATTTTTTTGAAGCAGCAAGCTGCTGCTGCTGCCTGCAGCAAGCAGCAGCTGCCTGCAGCAAGCAGCAGCTTGCTGCTTTTTAGCTGTCTGCAAAGGCAGCTAAAGAAGAAGGAAAAAAAAAACCAAAAAA